TGATTAGGTTCATGGGCCTTTGCCCTTTGAGTTTGATTAATCTCCATTGCCAATTTGATGATATGGTTACAGCTAGCGATGCATCGACCCATGCTAGAGGGATCTGCAAGAGTAGGGGTGTCACTCCATATGGCCTGGCAGCAAGCCTTAGCAATGTACGGGGGGACATCTATTCGATGGCATCGGAGCACTGCGGGTAGCTCCGGATGCTCTCAAAGCCCCAGTTGCGGGCCATGTGTCGAGGAGAAATCCGCCAAGGCTCAGAGAGTGGTTGAGGCCAGAGGCCAAATTTCCGGATCGATAGATGATGAAGTTGTCCGAGGTTGGTCGCTCAAATACTCGACTGTGGGCGTGGTTTTGGTGGGATCAGGACCGCTTTGACAAGGAGTATCAGGTTTAAACTCAGACAGAAAGGGTGCCTTGAAGGACCAGCGAAGCAAACTCTTCAAGCACGCACAGGATCGTTGAGCTTTGCCGCAAATACTTCCCTTGGGCTCAGGTGCTGAATTCGACTCCCAACCTTGGTTCATAGATTCCAGCGGAATCAGTCTGGCACATCGTCCCAGGCTTTACTGGATAGAACTCCAAGAAGCTGAGGGTGTGGAGATCTACTGGGAATGGACAACTGCCAATCTGTGGCCAGGTGGATTTGAAGGCAAGCATTGAAGAGAAGTTGTTCTTGGAGCCAGGATGGAAGCGCATGGGAGATAAACCTCTCCCAACTTTCACCACTTTGAGGCCAAGTCCTAAGCCATTGCGTCGTCCTGCAGGCTTGCGCGATTGCTCGGCTGAAGAACTGGAACGTTGGAAGGCAGACGAACACCGGTTCCCCCCATATCAGTACAAGGCCTACCATCATTGCTTGGTAAATTCATAGGGGAGTCTTCGAACTCGAAACATCAAAGAACGGGAGGTAATCCTGCCTTCCCTCCCAACTATACAAAGCAATGCATGAAGAAGAGCGAGCATGGGCGCACACATCATGAAGATTGTAGGTTGGCCCTCACGGGAAACAACCGGTCTGTAGGGATAGTTGCTTGGTTATTAGGCCAACTCCTTTAACCCTTGATCATTGCTCCTATTTCACTTACAAGAACTTGTTACTTATCTCACCCGGGACAGCAACCTGAACTTCAAGGTCTCCTCCTACGTCCTCCTATGTCGCAAGGCACTAGAATGTTCTCCCCATCTTCAAAACTGGTTACAAAGCTCTCGGGTCTAGTGTCCCTGAAAGGGGGGGATTTGATGCTGCAGAGGGCTACTGATGTACTGGTGAAATTTCAGCGACTTCGTGCGGGAGTTCCTTCAAACTTGTGGCGTTGGGAAACTGTAGCCGGTTGGCAATGGGGAGGGGATCCTGAACACATCAACGTTCTGGAGGCAAAACCTTTTCTTACTACAGTGAAATGGAGGGTTTATCAACGTAAACAAACAAATGTCAGGTGTGTGCATTTGGTTGACAGCTTGGTAGCTCCACGTGTGCTTACAAGAGGGCGGTCTTCATCCAGAAAGATGAGACGGACCATGATGCGGATCAGCGCTTACCTACTCGCAAGCGGACTCCAGCCCATTTGGGCCTATGTGGATACAAAAGAATACAAAAGACAACCCAGCAGACGGACCGTCTCGCTGGGGAATAAAAAACGATGGTTAAAAAAGTAGGAACAAGTCCTGAGTCTGCAGCAAAGAAGGAAGGCGCAAAATCTTCAAACAAATGGGAGCCCTCAAAGCCTCACAGTGCAAGCAGCTACTAAACCCCGGTATTCAGCGGGTCTACGAAGCTTTTTTGATTTTCTGAAAAAAATTGAAAAAAGATGAAAAAAGAAGGTCTTGAATTACATCGACAAAGAGATCATATGGACGCTTTGGTTTCGGACTATCTAGAGTACCTTTGGGCACAGGGTGAAGGGCGTGCCACTGGAAGTAGCTTCATGGCTGCCCTGCAAGACTACACGCTTAAACTTAAGCACAACCTCCCTGGTTCCTGGAGATTGATGAAGACATGGACTACCATGAAGTGCCTACGCGCGCACCCCCTCTCAGTGAGTCTGTGTTGGCAATGGTAGGTTGGGCTATCACCCAAGAACATTACACTTTTGCACTGAGTCTGCTAGTAGCTTTCTACGGTCTCCTTCGCACGGGGGAGTTGTTAGCTATTCCATCTTGGTAAATTCATACGGTTTCTCAATTTCAACCTGCAGTCATAAACCTAGGCATGACCAAGTCAGGCAAAAGGCAAGGAGCGGCTGAGAGTGTTACTCTCACCGAACAACATGTTTTGACCCATTTGTGGGATTGGAAACGCCGCGTTCCTCCCCACGCTTTCCTTACTGTAAAGCCTCATGCCTGGCGTGCTTTGTTTGCTGACTGCATTCAGAAACTGAAACTTACCCAATGGGAAATTAGACCACACTCACTGCGACGTGGCGGAGCCACCCACTTGTTTGTCAAATGTGGATCACTAGATAAGGTGGTCCTAGCTGGCCGATGGACAGCTGTCAAAACCGCTCGAATTTACATAAATTCCGGCTTAGCAATGCTTTCGGAAATCAAAATCTCAAAACCTCTCCTTTCCCCGTTTCACAAAATATTTTCTACTTGGAAATTAAAGCCTTCGCCTGCAAAGAGAGCAGGACTGGGGGACGTGGAAAGAAGCGCTCGGCGCAAAATTTGGGAACAAAAGGAGGGGGGAAGCCTTATATTTTTTTTGAAGAAAGCTGTGCCTGGGATATTTCTCTGGTGCGGCGAGATTTTCAGAAGGCACGGGAAAGTGATCTTCTCTCCAGTGTGGCGGAGAAAGATTCACTTGAGTCCCTTAAGGGGGTGGGGTTACCTTCTTTGACAACCAAACAATTTTCTACCTTTTCGAACTGTTTCAATTTGACTAAATTGGTCTGCAACGCATGTGAAAACAATGTGTTGTGAGTGTTTTATATACATTTAGAGGGAGAGAGGCTGCTATTTTGAAAAAACAGTTTCACAGTTAGTAAATTGGAAAGTGGTGCCTCAGTTTAACATAACTGCAACAACTGCTGGGTTTACGTAGATATATCCTGATATATCCACAATGGTGGTTAGTTATACACCAGCTCGCAACTGGGGAGCACCACCCTGTATATCTCCGTCGCCGTGCTAGAATATGGATTTGCAGTAATTATATAATCAGTTTCAACAACCCTAAACAGATAAATCAGTTGAAAAGAGTGTGCTGAATGAAATATGAAGATATTTTAAATATATGCTAATTGTGTTTTATGGGAAATCATGTGGTATATGTGGGAAAAATGATGAAAACGTGGTCGTGCTCACATGCTGGATTTGTCTTTATGTTGGGACAATTGTTTCCATCATGCTTAGGGTTGCTATATTTTATTTCTTGGGATACCTATATGGAGTTTGACCCCATGAATCATTTAAGACAATACTATGATACGGATCTTGGGAGTATGCAAGATCATAATCAATGTTAACAATTTAAACCCACCATTTAAAACCGTTGGCTGATGCACTGGTTTTCTGTGCGCTTTTGATTTAACTACGAAACTGGCGAGTGAAACATGTTTTAAATATCTTATGAGAAACGGGGATGCAATGACACTCTGACTAGTAAACCACCAGTTTACTAGTATGATGGGTACCAAATTGATGTAGTAGTATGTTTTGGGCCCGTATGGGTGGTATTCATCACTGGGAAAATGGATTGGGCCAATAGTATATATAGGATTTTTCCATACAAACAAATAGTATTGTATAAACACAGTTTGGGCATTGAGTTCAAAATCCCTGATGATTGGGTGATATTTAATTTGCAGAATTCCACTACAAGGGTGAAATGAGAATTTGGGGTCCTTTAAAATCAGGGAAATTGAGACGCCAAGGCATTCCTTCTCAAATCATTTCAAGGGTCACGGCCCTTAGGGCCTTCGGGTGCCCAAATGCAAAATCAAAGCCTCACATGTCATATCATATCCATTTCACTTTGGAATATGGTTCGTCAATGTTTGTGAATAACAAGTCAATACTATTCTCTGATATTTAGTAAATTACTGACTTCTGTTGGTCAATTTTTGGAATTGACAGTGAACACAATGTGCGCGACTTCAATCTTTCGACTATTTACCAAAAGGGCATTTGCCCTGAGTGCGATATCAATATTCAAAACCACTCATGAAAAAATGCATTCAATGGAATTGTTTAGGCAAAAACACAACGCGAATCACGGATTTACCATTCAAGTGCAGGATTTTCTGCAAATTGTCCTTTCAATTCTGGGAAGATGTTCCAGGGATGGGCCACATTGAAATACCGTTCTTTTGGCATAGAGAAGTGGGCAAAGCCTGGGGAACCAGAAGTGGAAAGACATGGAGGCCATTCCATGGGGACTTGGCGGATGTGGCTTTGCCAGCAAGCAGGAATGGATATATATATATATATATACGGTAACAACATTTGAATATGTGGGGGGCGGGCCAGACCGCGAGGCCCCGGAGGTAGTATGAAATACGAGTTCATATATTTAAATGTAGTTGCCGTATGTTTAAATGAATTGGATTCCGTATGTTTAAATGGCCGGGCGGGCCAAGGAAAACTTTCCCGGAGGTAGTCTAAAATACTTGTTCGTATACTTAAAAGTCCGTATATTGAAATGTAGTTACCGTTTATATATATATATAGACAGTATATCATGCCACTTTTCAGTACATAGTAGTATTTCATAAACGGGGATATACAAAAATGGATGGTTTATAAGGGACAATCCTATTAAAACGGATGATTTAGGGGTACCCCCATTTTAGGAAACCTCCATATATATATATACATTTACATAATATATTACATACTTTGATGCAGGTAAGATGCGGTATATGAAGAATTGGCGTTCTTTAATATCTACGATGTTTGAGTGTCTCAATTATTAGACATGTTACTTAAAATGAATGAGTATCGTATTTGCATACAATTCCCAAACGAAGCTTGCATTTTGACTTCTCATCTTGTAGGATGGCCGCATGAGCCCGGTTCCTTCGGTTCCTGCGGCTGCTGCTTCTTCTTTGATCAGATTGAAAGAAGGAAAGGTGCGAGATTCGGATGGGGGCGCCCGTGATGAAGATGATATCAGGAGATAGCAAGTGATAGGTGACCATAAGGTGGCCTGATATGTTTTATAAGTTTTTTGTGCCGAAGTGCAAGTTACATGTATGCCAGTTCATGTCAGTGACGAAATATTTGTATTGATAGAAACGTACACAAATAAATACAAACTACATGCATAGATAGATAAATACCTGCATAAACAGATACATTTGTATGATATACCTTGGCTCTCCAACGACACTTGATTTTGGGGTCATTCAAGTTTTTTTGTTCGAAAGTGTTTGTTTGAAACTGAGTGCTGTTTTTTGCATGTTGGTGATGGTCACTCATGGAGTGTGCTGAAGCTGTGGAAATCAAGTAAATGCGCCACTTTGCCAAGTTATATACAACTCATTGTTACAGCTACCGCCTTGACTTTGGATGATTGCAGGAAGTTATTAGTTCTCGTTTATATGTTTGATAACATGGTTTGGACCTTCCTTGCTCTGATTTTTGGCCGCGCTTTGCTTTTTATTTTTTGCATGCATGAGGGTATGTGTCAACACTCAGTTGCGGACCTGCGAATGCATTGCTCAATTGGGTGACATATTTTCCTGGGAGAACTTGCCTACACACTGCCAAAATGCAAAGGGTTTTTTTCTTCAAACGCACCTTTTTCGCTGAGGGGTGTCCGGATGGCGTCCGAAAGTACGGAAGAATGCGTCCAGAAACTGGGCCTGGACCCGTCTGAACCAGCGTTAGTCCATCCATTTGTCCAAACTGTGCAGTTGGCACCATGGGATGAGGGGTGTGCTGAAACCCTGTGTATATTTTGCAGTGTTGTAATGTGCACATGTTGGCCCCTGCAGCTCATTGTAAAAAGCAGGCAACAGGTTTTTTTAAAATATCTCGGCACAAGCTGTGGATCCAAAGTTGTTCAACCAAGAAGTTTCAGTCCTGCATGTGGGACTGAAATCCTGTGTGAGGATGCCTGGTCCAGCATCAGGCAGAACAAACACAAAATGTTCACATGATTTATAGCTTCGTATAAAGCCAGCACATGCCTAGATAAAGGGCCTGTTTTCATGAAAGCCTATTTTTTCTTAACGAAGGGTGAGCCAGCAGGTGGAGATCACCAGCCCAAAGTTGGGAGACTTACCGCAGCAGCCCGAGTTCGAACATGTGGACTCCGAGACCAAGCGGTATCTGGTCTCCAGGGTGGGAATCTGGAATGGTTGGCTGCGATTGGAAAATCTACAGGAAACAGTTTTTCCCCACTTGCTTAAATGTGTCCTAGAGATGTTCCCTTTAAGCGATCCGATGACATTCAAGAAATTCAAGGTTGGGATGATAGCGGTTTGGGGATCGATTCCAATGGTGTAATCATCATAGTCCAATGACATTTCATGACCAATTTCAAGGGTCAAGTCTTTGCACCCATATGCCACACATTTCCGAGGTCATTTTGAAGATCTGGAATCATGCCCAGCAACTGCTTCAGCTTCACACTGGTTCATCCTAGTAGGTAATGACCTCTGGGATTTCACCCTTTAAATGCCCTAAAATGGTGATTGAACCAACAAAATGGACGGGTCAGAATCAAGAATCATGGGCATATGATACGTATTGATACGTGGGATAACAGGCCCCGAGGTGGCCCCGAATGATGGAAGATAAGCCGCAATTATGGCCGTCGGTGGTTCAGATCTCTTTTGGGGCGGGGTCACCATTGTGGGGTTCTTGAATCGCCATGAACCAACAGCAGTTTGACTGGATCAGCTCCTTGAGAGTCAAAACCAGTATGTTTCTTCACCCATTTGGTACGTGGGAGGAAGGCCCAGTGACGTTTTGATCCCTAGCCCATGATGACATTGTTCAGCGATTTTCATCGATTTTTCTGGAGGCGATTTATTTCTACAGCGATGACGCACAGAAAGACGCCCTATAGATTCTAGATAATTCTTGGGACCCCAGTAATTGGCCGGAAGATGCTTAGAAGCCAACATGGAGTTTCCGAATTTGTAGGTTGAACGACGATTTTCAACCCAATAATAGTTGGAAGATTGTTGATGCCATTTCCCCACAAAAATATCAAACATGCATGCTACGGAGTTTTTTTTGGCTTATGTATCGTCCTTTTTGGAGGATCATCTCAGTTGTAGAGTGAGTGGCGTAGTTTACCCACTGGGTTGCCCCATGTCTTAATAATTATATAATATTATATAATATTATATATATAATATTATAGATAGACAGATAGATAGATAGATAGATAGAGAGGTAGATAGGTAGATAGGTAGATAGACTGACAGACAGACAGACAGACAGATAGATAGATAGATAGATAGCTACAGCTGGTCCGAAAGTCCCAAAACGCAGTGGCCATTTGCATTTCATTGCCAGCTACGATCGGATAGTCTCATGTGAAAACCGGGAACAAAAAGGTTATCATATGTTATGCCCCGCCGTCACACAAGCCACACAAGTTGGAGATGAAAATTGTTTTGGCCAACACATTTTCTGGGGATATAGATTTGAGTAGCGGGAAGTGAGTAAGTGGGGTGATAACCTTGTTAGGCGCAACTGTAGGGAGCTCAGTGGCTTCGCAAAAAAACAACCGCGAAAACCGGTCCCAAGCAGCGAGGCTTTCCGGCAGTATCCTGGGGTTGCCCAGAGACTCTTCGCGAAAGGCGAGGTTGCTGGGATGAACTGATAGTCCACAGATGTTTTTTTTTCTGGTAAACTAAGAGTTCGCGAACTGGAAAGATCCACCATCTTTAATAGCTAAATCAACTATTTCTATGGGTCATTTTCAATAGCTATGTGACAAATTACCAGAGGGTATATTTCATAAGTTATCTTGACCTCATTGTGACCTCACTGGAATCATGGTAAGGGGTAACTCTCCCAAAATGATTTTATTTCAGGTTAGTGAAATCTTTTAATTCACCCAGGTATTTACATATGAAATGAATCTGATGCGGCAAGCCCAATGTCATAAACCGTCCCCAATATCACAATTTATAGACACATAGAGTTATATTATATGTAACGTATACATAGATATATATATATAGAATGGTCAGATTTCATCTAAATTGTTATGAATTATTGGTATTTGTTGAGCTTATTGTACATAAATTTGCTTAAATAGAATACATAAATAAATAAATCAATAGATAAATACATATACAGTATATACTGTATATATACATATGCATTTGCGTTTTAACTTGTCTTAAGTTTGCAGCATTAAGTATTTTGACACAATCGCTATGATGGAGACAGTAGTGATCATGACGATGGTACAAGCCGGAAAGAACAGTCTTTGTTGTTCATGGCAAACATACATCAATACAGTCTTTGTACAGAACCACCAAGCGTGCCGCTTTTGCCAAGCAAGAATGGCGATCAGACCCAGGCTGTTGCTTTGTTGGGTGTGCACTGCCACATGTTTGAATGTGAGTTCACAGATAAGTGAGATAATGATTGTATGTGTGTACTTAGTTTTCCTGGAGTAGATAGAATATGGAATTTTGAAAAGCTCTTTACTTAAATGGGAATATGGTTCAAACATCATATCACTATCTGCTTCAGGGTGATTTCTTATATACATGCACAGTAGATTCTTTTGCGAACTGCTGTCGCACCATTGCCCTGGGATAGGTCCTTCCGGGTTTGTTGAGGGCCTATCATTTTTGTGTGAACTTTTGAACGTTACAAGCTGGTGCCCTATACTTAGCTAGGTTGCTTTTGAACTAGGTTAACTATGGTTGATGGTCGATATATCGAACTAGCTAATGGGTTTAAAAACCAACAAACAAAACTTGGGGGTGCCATCTTGTAAGAGTTTATGGACAGGGTGTATGAAACCCATCCCCCTTATTTTGATTGGAAACATTTTGGGGGGGCCATATGGGAACAAACACATTCTTTGGGGATAGGATGAATCACCAACAACAATTACCCTGCAGCAATCCAACGTGGTAATTGAACATGACCCATTTATATAGTTCGATGATGTTCGATGATTTTAGTTTGGGCATGTCATGGGTCATGTTCAATAACAATATCCCATAACAATGATCCTTTTAGTTCCCCAAGAAGCATCCCATAACATCATCCCCAAACTTCAACCGTCCACAACTGATGTCATGGGATAACTCAGCTGGCCAAGTGTGACGACTCCTAAGATGGCCTTGGCAGGGATGTGGTGTGGTGCCCAGTGATGTGCCCCATTAACTAGTTCGATATATAATGATATATATATATATACAATATATTATATATATATATCTATATATATATACATATAATTACATGTATTTATTTATTTCTAGTATCTATAATAGAGTATATCTACCATCAACGATACTTTAGCTAGCTATAAACCAACTTAGCTAAGTACGAGGCACCACCTGGTAGGAGACCCAGAAACTGGACCTAATTTCAGCCAAGAAACAGCAGGAGTGCAAACATTGACTACATTGATTGATCTTACCACAATATGCATCAGTTTAGATCAGTGCCAGGCTACACGATTTTTGGTGGTTTGAAAGTGTGTAGATGTCTATAACTCCATCCAATTGTAGATATATATATATATTTAATGATATATGCAGTATGAGTTCAATTCCGCTAGCCTAGTTTCACTACCAACGATTGATGAAGGGTCGCGCCCAAAAATTACAAGCGGCCACTCCGTATAAATCTGCGCTAGCATTTCCTGCAGGTTTTTGCTACGGTTTCAACATGAAAAATAAAGGGCAGTGTTTCAGACTATTTAAGATAAGTCATAGTTTTAAAGACCAAACAAGAAGTGGCACGTATGGAATTAGGATTTAACGACCAAACCAGAAGAACACATTTTCAAAAACCGTAATATACGAAAATGTGACCATTACCAATCAACCACGTTTTTTCGGGTGACCATGAACTGCAGCGGGTTCTCAATGGCAAGCTTTCAGTAGGCACGCCTTGGAAAATTGAACATGGACATGGAATCTAAAACTTCAGCTTTGAAGGTTCAATATTGCCTGAGTTTGCCTTTGTCCCAGAACTCGATTAAGGACAATTTTACACTTGAAACATCTTGAAACCCAATTTCAAGGTAAGGCAAAAACAAGTGTTTCCTGAAACGATTCCCTTGAAGCAATCCCTTTATTTTCAATATTTTTCAATACAAGGTGTTCTTTTGTGTTTGTTTTCCTGTGTTTTTCATAATGTTTATATAATCTCAAGATATGTGATGCGTTCCTCTCCGGCCTCAACATGAGTGAGCTCAAGGCACGCTGAATTGTATCAAAAGTGAATCGCACTCCGGAACTAAACATTGCTGGCTGGGAAACCCCCGAACAAAATGGAAGTTTTACCTGGAGATTCATTGAACTTGTGGGATTTTCCAGCACCCCATCATCAACTCAGAAAACAAGCTTCGCTGGAATTGCACCTGCAATTGCAACTATTACCTTTCCCATTTAAAGATCTACTTATCTCATGAAATCCATGAAGTATGTCACCCAGTTTCTTTGCAGTTTCTTTGGGTAAAGGGCGCCCCTTTTGAAGTCCCATATGATCCAGTCATGTTTCATGCCAGAGGTGACCGCGACCAAAATTGGGCAGCTTGGCATAGCTTGGCAGTTTCGCGGGGGATTGCAGGGGCACCTGGAGTAGCTCATGTATATTATGTATGTTATCTATATATGCCGATTATACATATATATAATTAATTAATATCCTAGAAATGCAATTGCGGCACTTTATTGCCAAAAGGCGATTGTTTCGATGCTACGGCGTAATTCCAGGAGCGACATCGTAATCATTTTTTTGGCTGCGTCATGTTCATTGGTATGTGTGGACCTCACCACATTGGGGCTCAAAGGCAAAGATGTGCACTTAGATTGGTGCGATGTCTTGGAACCTAGGTTCGGTTTTTTAAAATTTGTTTTTCCAGAAAACAAAAACTAATGGAAACATCACCAAAAGTTGCCGTCGTAATTCCCAAACATTATGGAGAAATTTTCCAACATTCCGGCGTAATTTCCCAACATTACGGCATAATTTCCCAAGACTACGGCGTAATTTACCGGAACCATGACAGAATTAATTTCCCACTATTTTTGCTGCTCATGGACTTGCAGAGTCCATGGAGAAAAGGAGTTTTGTACTGTTCAGGGTATTGGGACCACCTCTTTGTCAGTCAAGCGTATGAATGGTGAGCCATAGTTCCACAGCCCTCACAACCATTGACCTTTGGCAACGTCATTTTTGGATGTCCTGCGTCAAAATTTCCGGGCTACGTCAAAAAAAAGCGCCGATTGGGAATCTGGCACTTTTTTACGCAACACCTATATATCCAGGTATAGTTTTATATATTTATCATTGAGGTTCCTGGCATTATCTGACATGTTTATGTTTTTTTGGGAGGGATCTATTCGAATTAGTACTGGATTTTTTTCACTTTCCCCAGATGTTTTTTCTGAATTTTCATCCAGGCAAGCAAGCATGCAAGTAAACATGTAAGCAAACATGCATGCCAGCCAGCCAGCAGGCCTAAACCAACCTAAGCACCCTAAACCTACCCTACATAACCCCCAAGCCACCCGTGAATCACTCCCAAACTGACCCCAATTAATAGCCTCAACTCGTAAACAAGCATTCAATAGACCATCAAAGACACCTCACATTTTTAAATCCACCCTAAATAGACCTCAAAACCCAATTAGACCCCTAAACCAACACTAAATAAACCCCAAACATACCCTAAAGAAACACCATAAGAGCTGCCACAGTCAATCTAAAAAAAACTGTGGAAATTGGAAAAAAAAACCGGGGCAACCTGCACCCTTTCTGTTGGATAATGACGAGCTGAGAACCAACCAGATATGTGCATATGTTCAGGGGTTGTTGATCATTTTGGGAGGTATCATTCTAGTATGAGACGCCATCATTATATGGGGAATACCCCCGACCCTGAATCAACCGGGGTTTATTTATCCAAGCTTGGCATTGTAGAGGGAGGGATATCTTGTTCAAATATCGACTTCTCCAAATGTGTTTAGACCGGTGATATGTTGCTTTGGAATGATTTTAGATGTGCTATATATACCCTTTGGTTATCAAGAATGGCCATGGAAGATCTCTGATTTCTGTTCATATGGTCTCGTGTTCCGTGTTCCTCCCCCCCAAATGGTATGGGTCCCCAGGTAGCACCCCCTTCCCTGGCAGCATGTCTGAGGTCATTTGAGGTCCAGCCTCGCATTTACTAGGTACATGCTACCTTTTAGACGACCTACGTAGCACACATACTCCCTCAAAGTCCCTTCGTGCTACCTATAGTCATATAATGTCATAATATGTCATGATATGTCATATATACATGTGCAATGTATCTACTTCCTTTTTACTACTTGTGTACTCTCACAGCACTACATGTGTTTCACATATCTTTCCTGCATACTAGGGACTTACTACGCACATGCTTCTATATCGCACTTATGAACTACCCGTATACGAACTAACGACGGTCTGTACCATCACCCCCCCCAACCGCCCTAGCCCTTACTACCATAGTTACTGTACCATACATACCAAAGCCTACCAAACCTACCATACATGCCTTACTCTGGTATACATACCACGCATACCATACAAACTTTGACCATACATACCATACCTATCATACCTAGCAAACGTACATGCCATACATACCATACATACCGCACCTACCATACATACAATACCAAACATACATGCCATACATACCATACATACCATACCTACCTTACCTACCTTACATAGCAAACATTCCATACCCATCATACTAACCATACAGACCATACAGACCATACATACTGTCATATCAAACATACCATACCCAACAGACTTACATACCATACCTACCACCCATACAATACCAATCATTCATGCTATACATACCAAACATACCATACATTCCAAACATGCCATGCCAGACCGACCATACACACCATACATACCGTCATATCAAACATACCATACCCAACATACTTACACACCACACCTACCATCCGTACAATACCAACCATACATGCCATACAAACCATACCTGCCATACATACCAAACATACCATACATTCCAAACATACCATACATAACATACCAACCATACATGCCAAACATACCGTACATATCAAACATACCGTACATGAGATAATTACATACCATACTCACCATACCCACCATGCCATATATATTGTCATACATACACTACACCCCCCCCACCACACACCCCGCACCACACACACACACACACTTGCTCAGAAACAACATTGCGAATTTTGTTGTGGAGTGCATCACACGTGCACAAAACAATCCCTTAAAAACTGCCAGGAAAAATTGGTTGATCCAGCGTGAATTTCAGTGCGAAGTAAACTTTCTACGTCCTTGCTCTGAGGAAGGTTCTGATGTAGCTGAACCAGTTGTAAATAACCAAATAAATCCAGATTGCGACAACAGTGCAGTAGGCAACCCTCAAGTGGAATATATCGACGTTCCGGTTCTTGGCTTAGCCGGTCGCCATTGACGAAAATGAAAAAGATTGAGCAGGTACGTGGATTGAGCGTCCCCAATCCATATCACTGTGCAACAGATGCGTCTTCGTTGGATGGAGACATCTGAAGCACACTCCATCCCCCTGCAAGTACGAAGTAAAATTGAACCAAGTCAAAGCTATAGGAAGTTTTACATCTTTTCAGATGTTCCACACACACGCCTCGCTGCCGCGAGGCTTTTTTCAATTCCTCCACCTTGAGAGCTCTTATCCGTTCCCTGAAGCGGAAATGGCTTCAAAATACAGGGAAGAAACATCGAATGAATTAATCCTAAAACTCACAGGCTGTCATCATGTAATGCCTCCATGCGTCGTGCTTGGATAGACAAAGTCCTTGTGGATTCCGCCAAGTGGCTAGCAAGATGAGCCAAGTCTGCCGCCGAGAAGATCTGAACTGGGTGTCGGGAAAGATCTCCTTCAGGATCCTCCAGACGTTCGAGTATGGCCATGTTGGCCTCCCTGTCATTGTTGAGGATGTTCCAGAAGAACGTTGCCAGTTGATGAATCTGGACAGGAGGTGGATTGATGTCAGCATTGGCAATGAGAGAATCGGTGTCATCCATGACGGATTCATGTGCCGATGTAGGGCTTTCTGGACCGTCAGCTTGACGGGGACGCCAGTTACCATATGGAGAGGTCTCGGGGATCTGAAAGTAGCGTCGCCAGTAGTTGGCGAGCTGGGAGGATTGATCCCATGAATCAATCCAGCCATTCTGTCCGGCACGAACATGGCCGATGATGCCGTTGAAAAAATATTCAGGCTGCCTATTGTGGTGGCGGCCAAGTCGATCCACTTCCGTCACCATAAGTCGTCGAAGCGCCGGTTGATCGTCATCTTCTGGAGGTGATTGGACTTCCACAAAATAGTATGCATGGAGCTGACGTCGGACTTCTTCCATCTCTTGCTGGAGTGGATATGATTCTCCTGTAGGAGTAGGTAGAATTGGAGCTTGATGATCGGCAGGAGATGGTATGGGTGTGGCAAGATTTGCCGAAGAATACCCATAATGGGTTGTGTACTCGCCTGATGCATTGGGTGAGAGGGAACTTCCAGCTTGGGGAGCATTGTCGCCACGGGGCGGCTGCAATAGATCCGAAGGAGCAGCAGTGCTACTGGATTGGCCATGACTGCGGGATCTCCATGAAACACGACGTGGCTTGCTCATGGATGAAGAAGGACGCGTGAGACCGGCAAATGAGGAATCACGCTTGGTCATGGTACAGCTGGAGCCAAGAGCTAAAGACTTTAACAGGTAAAAAACAACAAGAAGCAAGAGCAAACCACACAAGCGAACGGGAGAGTCCCATGTCCCTACATGTAAGAGACTTTTAACCTTAAGGAAGCATGTTGCGGTTTGGAAGAGCCTCATGGCAGCTCAAGCGCATAATGTAAGGCTGAATGTGAGACGTAAAGGGATGAATGTGATGTGAAAAGAACTCATTATGTTCTTGTCCCTCAGTCCAGTGAGAGCGGTATGCGTTCAGGTAGGTGACGAGGTATTCTTCGTTGCGGAGAGCAAACGTATCTCCAGTATCATCTTGCCATCTGATGTCCATGGCTGAAGGAGATAAGAATCGATCCCACGTATACCAAATGTGCTGGCTGATGCAATACAACAGGTTGTACACCGTGAAGGTTTCCAACCTGTGTGTGTTGAGCAGGATGCTGAATGTGAACAATGCACGTTCTTCGACCGGAGTGAGGCGAGGGAGAACTTCACATGTTGTAGCGGCCATCGAGTGATCATGGGTTTTGTTCATGAGCGGGCGGACTTGTTCAATGTCAACGATGACCAAGACCTTTCGGACTTGAGGAGCAGGAGGAGGTTCTTCAGGTCGAGGATTTCGTTGCCTGTCATGTTGATGAGTACCACGGTTTTGCCACATATTGTCGTCCCGAGAGCGGGAGCGTTCAGGAGCTGTTCGTTGACGATAATATGAATGAGCCATACTTGCTGTGGGTGAACAGACACCAAGTAAGAACATTCATCCCAGGCAAAAGAAAGACTGACCAAAAGGGAGACCTCA